CGCCTCGCCTCGCCTCGCCTCGCCTCGCCTCGCCTCGCCTCGCCTCGCCTCGCCTCGCCTCGCCTCGCCTCGCCTCGCCTCGCCTCGCCTCGCCTCGCCTCGCCTCGCCTCCACCCGATGGGTGCTAGAGCTGTTGTAAGAGCCAGAGGGTTCCTGATCGCCGAGGGGAACAACTGTGGTTCTTTCCATGGGATACCTGCAATTCCTCCTGCACCTCTGGTAATGAATCACTTAATTTGCAAAGCCTCTTCAGCCGAATAGGTTTCCTCTTCCTTGGGACAGGCCTTGCTGTTGGAGCCCTTTTCGTCTGATGTGAACATTGTAAGTGTTGGTATGAGGACAGGCATCCCAAGAGGATCCCGCTCAATGTTCATGTTGGTGCTTAGACTGTGCCTGCAGCATCTCTCCTGCTGTGTCTTGGTGCTGGCTGCTCCCTTCCCAGGTCAGATGTTGAGAGGGATGAGGTCATCCTGCAGAGGAAGCAGAAGCAGACTGACTATGGAAAGAACACTGTGGGCTACCAGCTCTTCCTTCAGCAAGTCCCCAGGTGAGAGAGTTCTGGGTCTATTCACTTTCCTACAACCCTTCTGATTCTGGCCGGTTACAGATATTACTGGGGAGAAGTACCCAAAATATCACTTGAAGCATCCCCTTCCCCTTTGAATGAGCTCAAAGCAACTTCACTGCCCTTTCATATCTCCCTGGAAGGGGGAGAGTGGAAAGGAGGAAGACTTGCTGCCAGATAAGAGGGGTTTAAGAAGGATTCTAGTAACTTACGAATGCTGTGCTTTGCTCTCAGGGCTGCTTGGCAGCCAGGGGTTCATCCTCATACTCCAAACAAGTACAAGAAATATAGCTGCCACTCTTGGGACGTGCAGATCAAGCTGGGGAGATGAGCTCTGTGTGCCTGGGACCCTTGTAACAGGCATCCTGCTCAAGATGGAAAGGACTTCTGGAAGACACTTCTGTCCATTGTCCTAGGTGCCTATTCAGTCCTATACAAGAAAGATGCCCTTTGAGGGAAGGGAGAATGGGGGAAGTGTAGTCAGGCTAATCTTAGACCTCTCCAAACCTGAGGATCCTCTTCTGGGCTCTCACTTGACACAGGCTGTCACACTTCTGTTCTCAGGAAGCCCAAGCATATTGACCAAACTTAGTGTGCACAGCGGGCATCTTGTGAGACTTTGTACTCCGTGGCACCTGAGGTCTCTTTAGAGGAGAGATTAAGACATTGCCCCGATGCCTGCCAGCTCACTACGTCCCTCTCTGCAGTGTTCAGCACCAATTCTGCCATCCTGCCAGCTGCTTTCTGAGGACTGGAGAAGAATAAAGTGCGGAGTGTCCTGTGCTTGCGCAGTCACCCATCTCTGTCCCATCAGCGCTGCGGGGACTGGAGTCTGACGCACTCTGGGACATGCAGATCTAGGCTATAGGCATCTGTTATCCTGATGTTCACCTAGCAGGTGTTCTGTTGTGGCATAGAGGGAGGGGACCTGACCACTTCACCCCGTTTCAGAGAAACAGCCCTGCTTGTGATGGCATCAGGGAACTTGATGCTGTTTCTTGCCTGGACTGGTGAATGAGATGGCTGTCTGTTTGAAAGGCAGGGCCTGGCTGCTCTCTTGGGATCCGCAGCAATGTGCTCCAGTGACTTGCAGCCTCAAGAAACCCTGCCAGGAGGAGCTGTGGAGGGGCTGGGATGTTCGAGCCCTTCTAGCCAGTGGTGCTGAGGCGACTGGGCGGCTGATTGGCCCGGCACTGTTGGCGAGCTGCTCTTCACTCCAGCTCCACAGCTCGAGCCGGTGCCTCTGGGACCTGCATTGCCGTGGTCCCAAATCAGGAATGAAATGGCTGTTGACAACCAGAAAGTAAACATACTGGTTTACGTTTGTATCCGGGTTATTAAATTATGGTAATGACATGAAATATTCTAATCTGTAAGCAGTTATAGTTGTTACATTACACTGAAATGCTCTTTGTTCCATCGAGTCAGAACAAGTCAGTCTTAGTATTCTGACAGTGACCAAGAACTGGTGCCTGAGAAATCAAAAGAAATCTGATTGGAAGATTTTCCAGCAGCAATCCTGGTTTCCAGTGATCTGCCGCTCAAGGATTTCCCAAATTGGAGGTGTTCAGCAGTCCTGAGTGGGCTTTTCTTTTGTGAATGTGATGGGTGGGTGGGGTGGTTTTGTTTGTTTTGTGATCATTGTAAACTTATCACATCCCTAGCAAGGAGTTCCACTGTTCAGCTAATGGGGGGGGGGGAATAAGTATTTGCTTGACACTTGTTTGGAACCTGCCAGTTCCATTTGATACTCATACTTGTTCTTCATTCACTCTTTCCAGACAATTCAAGAGTCTATAGAACTCTGTCTACCATGCCTCACTGTCTTTTCCAAACTTACTTAATTAACTGTCTTAATCAATTTCACTGCTTTTTGTACAGAGCTGTTCCACAGCTTTCCTCATTCTCAATGCCTTCTGTAGTGTTGTGAGTATGCACATGCACTTATAGAAGGTGATTGGATAGCTTAACACCTATTCTTATGCTTGCTTTCTCCATTGTTGGCAAACTGACATCTGGGGGGACAGGGATGTGGGGAAGAATGGTTCTTCTGTCAGCTTTTATCTGCTACAGAGCCTTCAGAGATTGCTGGAGGTAGCGAACCTCTGCCCACTGACTTAATGGTCTTTGGGTCAGGATCTGTACTTGTAGAGAAATAGAGCTAGATGGAAGATGTAGAGGTCCTCTGGTCTGTCCTCCGGTCTGTCTTCCTCTTCCAAGGAAGACCAGAAGTTCTGTTGTCAACCTGAGATACTCTCACTGTGTAAAAACTCATACTGGGTCAAACGAAAATCTTTCTATCCAATATGCTGTTTCTGAAGGCACCTGTAAAATAGTTTTCATTCTCAGCACTTTATTGGTTTTGTTTGTTTAACATATGCTCTTACTTGAATTCTCCCTAGTTTATGTGCACTCCCAACACCTCTGGATAGCTTATGTTTTAAGCATTGACTGTAGTTCATCCTTATGGATGATGTTCAGCAGAGGATGCCTTGGGAAGCATAAACGACAGGGTATGTAATACTACCCTAAAACACTGTCCAGCAGCTTGCCACTGAGTGGTATTAATTACAAAGACCTTTACAGTAGTTTAATCTAGGTCATGATTCCCTAGCTTGACTATGATATCACATGAAGCAGCTTCAGAAAGCTCACTAGAGTCAAGACAGGTGATCTTTTCTGCTTCTCCCTTATCTATAAGGGCTGTTACTTCAAAAGAGAAAATAGATTTGTTCTTGATAAACCGTGTTGGAGATGAGGATTAGTAGTCTTACTGATTTCCCCAAACAACTTACATGCACCAGATTATTATTTTTTAAATTACAGGCAAATTCACTGGTTCATAATCCTTAGCCTATCTTCTTGT